AGATATAGATATATAGATATAGATATATAGATATATAGATATATATATATAGATATATATATATAGATATAGATATAGATATAGATATATATAGATATAGATATAGATATAGATATATTAGCAGACGAGACTAAAATGTCAGAATCTGTGCAGGGATGTTTGTGTCTGTTGTTGTGGTTACTAAAATTTGAGTTCTGGTTCTCTTTGTGTGGCAAAGAAGAAGCTGGCAGCAGAGCCAGACTACACCGATGTATCTCTGACGGCGGCGGAGCGTGTTCGAGCTCTGGCCAAAATGGGATGCTGCGTTGAGATCAACGAGGACATCGCTCCCAGACGCTACTTCCGCTCCGGCGTGGAGATGGAGCGCATGGCGGCAGTTTACCTGGAGGAGGGCAGCCTGGAGAATGCATATGTCCTCTACACCAAACTCATCACGTGAGTCATATGATGCATCTCATCATGTTGGGGCGGGGTCTGTTGTTAACCATTCACACACCAGCTTGATGCGCTGTTGCTTCCTGTGTTCAGTCTGTTTGTGGAGAAGCTGCCAGGCCACAGAGACTACCAGCAGTGTTCATCCATCCCAGAGAAGCAGCTCATCATGAAGGTAACTCGCCTTGAGAGGAAGGGAACTCACCTGTAGATGTTCTCCTGAAGGGAACTTACCTGGAACTCACTTTGGTCAGAATATTTTTTGTTTCTTTAGCACCCTGGAATCTTTGGTTCTTCTTTTCTGTCCCTCATGAGGGGTTATGTTTGGGTTCTTCCTTCCATCCATCCATCCATCCATCCATCCATCCATCCATCCATCCATTATCTTTACTTGCTTCTTCCTTTTTGGGTCTTAGGGGTCACTGGTGCCCATATCCAGCATCACTGTGCGAGAGGCAGGGGACACCCTGTACAGGTCTCCAGTCCATCACAGGGACACATGGAGACAAATGAGACAAACAGCCATTCACTCTCTCTCTCACCTAGGGACAATTTAGAGTTACAACATGCATGTTTTTGGTCTGTGGGAGGAAACTGGAGCACCCGGAGAAAACCCACGCAGCACGGAGAGAACATGCAGACTGCACCCAGAAAGGCCCCTAGACTGGGATTTGAACCAGGGTAACCTGCTCGCTGAGAGGCAGCAGCTCTACCAGTTGCACCACAGTGCTGCCCTATGTTTGGGTTCTTAAGATACAAATCTTAAATCCTCCAGTTTGATCACAACCATGAACCCCTGTTTCTGATGTGACACTTTACAGTTTTTTCTTGTTCGTTTCCTGGTTTCATGTTTCATAATGGGTTGGTTGGTTTGGTTAAGACATTTGCATTGGTTTGGTTTAGATAACTGTTTGGAATGTGTTGGTTGGTTTAGGTTAGAGTGGTTGTTTGGGATGGTTGGTTTAGTTGGGGTGGTTGGGACTTATTTATAGTTTGGTTTAGTTTTGGGTTGGGATGTAAGGGCCAGTGTGGGTTGGACAGGAATGGTTGGTTTAGTTGTTTTGGTTGGTGTGGTTGGTTTAGTTGTGGTATTTAGACTAGATTAAGTTTAGGTTGGGTTAGTTTTGCATTGAGTTGTTCAGGTCATTATGGGTTGGTATGCTGTTTTTCTTTTATTGGGCTGGGATGATTGGTTTTAAAAACATGTTTGGTTTGGTTTGGATGTGATGGCCTGTTTAGATTGGGTTGCTTTTTCACATGATTCAGTTGGGATGGTTGGTTTGGTTGGATTAGTTTGAACTGGTTGGGTGGGGTTGTTTAGTTTGGTTGGAATAGCTGGTTTGAGTTAATTTGGTTTGCGTTGGGTTGGCTTTCACAGTAGAGTTTGATTGACTGGGTGGGATATTTGGGTCTATTGGTTTTAACCACGTTTTACTGTAACTCCTCAGGTCTCTAAAAACTTCCCAGGTCATTTTAAACAACTGATTCAATTGTAGCATTTCCCATCTAACACTCAAAGTAGTAAAAATATATTAGTAAGTAATTAAGTAAATAAAACTTTATTTATATAGCGCTTGTCAAGATAAAAATCACAAAACGCTTCAACAAATCAGATAAACAAAAGCAAAAAACAAATTCAGGCAAAAAAATATATTTGCCTACTTGTGTCCTATTCTCAGGTCTCTTTTTGGCACACATACAGGTCCAGACTCTGGTTCTGGTTTCCAGGACTGTATGTGGACTGCTCATGTTCCTCATATTCCCTCTGGATGTTTACAGAAACTTCAAGAGGTGGCGTTTCCTCGAAAAGAGGAGCTGAAGAGACGTCTTCAGGAGAAATACAGCAGGGAGCACACTGAGTATCTCAGAAGCCAGGTTGGTGAGGGTTCAGGGGGTCAGGGAGGGTCAGGACAATCTGTGGGCCAGTGTGGGCTGATTTTTGTGTGCATGATCCAATCAAATTACATCTTAAATTTAAGATAAGATAAGAACTTTATTGATCCCGCAGGAAATTGTTGTGCCAGAGTTTCAATACAAGGAACATGCACAAGGAAACAACACAACACAAAACTGATTCTTCCCCCAACAGCTTAC